TGGTTTTTATTTATATTTTTATTGCATTTATTCATATTTTTTGTTGTATACTATTCAGGTTTGGGGTGTTAATAATCCAACAAATGAAACGTTGGCCCAGTACAAATGTTTGGGACTTTTACCTCAGTTTTTTTTTACTATCACTTATTCTGTTGCTTTCTTCACAGTACGACAAATCAATGGCCTCCTGGACCTGCATGCTAAAGAGGGAAGGATATTGTAAGTAAAGTAACCTTGTAGTCTGCTTGAAAAAAAAATTATAAAAATCCACTTTTGTGACGTCATTGTACATTAATAAGGGGAAAAGTACACAACTCTGTTTTATGAAAGACCGTAGGGGCTTTGGAATCTGATGAGGACCCTAGAATATAGCACTTGGCAATTAGAGCGTCATTCATGAATGTATGAAACACGGCTTTAAAAATCCTGCTAAGTATTTGCATATAAGGTTCACTGACTCACTATTTCATATGCCATATATTTCATATGTTCACGGGGCAATATCTCTGTCGACTGCCATTCTGACTAAAATGGCCTTATTGTCGTTGGTTACCAGCAAGAAAAATGGAAAACAGCTCGCATGCGTTCAATCGTCAATATTTTTGTCAATAATAACAAAAGCAACAGTTCTACATGAATATGCAACCGAATCGTTTCTGACTATTTTGAAATTGATCAGTGAGTGACTTCGATATTTTGGGTAATTTGTCAGCCAGGAGGTATACACGGAAGAGCTTGCTCACACCCTTGACATCAACTTTGCTGATCTTGTCAAGAAATTTATCGTCACTGCTCCTTTTGGCAGTTTTTACTTTAAAAATGGTTTCTAACAAAATGATTTTCATACCCAAGCTTTTTCTGGAACATTTCGCTTCTATAATTGATTAAAAGAAGACACCTTTGACAATTGTGAGAGACGCAAGAATAGATTGGAAAAATCAGTCGATATTTAATAAACAGATTCAGTTTTTTGTGGTTAAAATGAAATTCACTTCAACAGCTTAAAATGTAACAGTTCTTTTACCTGATTTTTTCATTAGCTTCACAACCCAACCACATTTGAGATATTAGCTTTTTTTTATCTGAATGCATTTCGAAATTACCAAAGCTCATCATGAACCTATTGGAGTTTGCCTTGTAAGACATTGATGTGTTAATTTCCAGGCTGGTAATGCCTATTGCTATTTTGTCAACCGCATAATTCATTTTCTTTCAACAGTGCATAACGATCATGGTAAATACAACCTTTGATTATATAGAAGGTGACATAAAGGCTATCTTGGACGTATTTCATGCAGGGTTCGCTATCCCCACTACTGCAATGGAATTCTTCAAATAAAATACAATCAGCTGTGCCATCCTCAACCCGAAGTCTTCGACCAAGGTAGTGAAATCAAAGTCAATCTGAACTTCTGTTTCCAGCCAGTGGCGTAGTGAAGAGAGGCAAGAGTTAACTGCTCCCTTCGGGAACGCTTGCTTCCGTCTTTCCTCTCTCAGAAGAGCCCGGCCACTGTTACTCACGAACTTTTTCTTGAGCAAAAGAAACACACGACGAGTCAAATTTGAGCATGAAAACCGCCCCTCCCTTTTTACACAAAGGCTTTTTCCAAAAGAAAAAACTAATTATCTGAGAACGTGCAAACAAAGCACTGCTTGTCCCAATATTGCCATAAAAACATATTCTTTCCAAAGATTGCAGAAACTGAAAACTGAAATCAAGAAAATTAGTGGTTTTCTTCCCGATTCATTTGTTCCCCTCTATTATTTGCGTATTTACTTCCTTTAATTTTTCAGGGAAGAGGGTAGGCCCCACCCTTCCATGTATGTAATGTCTCCGTCAACGAACAGTTAACGTGAGGCTAGAAGGGCCCTCTCGATTTCCCGGCTCATTTGATAAGCGAAAGAGTAGATTGTGTTTTTCAAAGTGGGGCTGATGGTAAAACACAAAAGACCAAGTTATCTGCAAACAACATCGACGTGCCACTTTTGTTTTCTCCCCACCCGTGCTGCAGATTTTCTGGATTCAAAGGAAGCCAACACATTCTTGTTCAAACAAAGAATCGGAAAGAGAAGCCTTATCGAAGAATGCTGCTTTGAGGGATGCACCAACGAGGAAATTTATGAAGTCTGCTAAATTAATGAGACACCAATGCGGATTAAGCTGACTTCTTACCATCGGCATATTCAACCTTACAAAATATATTGGTTTCCTCTTATATCGAGATATAATAAAAATAACAAGAATATTTTTATTTAAATGGCGCTTTCCATAACAGGAGTTATATCAAAGCGCTTCACAGAACGAAATACTATTACTACAAGAAGACCCTCCCCCAAAAAAAGAAAAAGCAACTTAACCAAAAAGAAGAAATCTCCTGCTTGAATTCTCTCCAAACAAATTACTCATTGTAGAAAAACAAATATAAACAAACCAAACTAGAAAAATTCAAGAATTTTTTTTCCAGAAAGTTAGCTTTCAGATGTTTTTGAAAGGTATCAAAAAAGGGTTCAGAACGCAAAGAGACTGGATGACAATTCCAAAGTGAGGAGCACTACGAGAAAAGATTTTGTCACCATAAGCCTTCGTTTTGCTTCTCTTAACTTGCAGAACGAACGTTTTGAGAGGCGGAGCTGAGGAATCTGGTAGGTACATAAGGACAAATAACGTCAGACAAGTATATGACAAGTATATACGAGATATAATTAGTGGTGGTTTTCGTCTTTGAAATAAATATCAAGTATTATGCCATTTGCTTCCCATTTAGATTCGTGAAAATTCGATATGGAGCTCCTAGTTTTTATCTATTTTTAGTTCCTATTGTTTTTGGAAGGGATTCTGTACCGAAGCCTCAGATGTCTCAAAACAATCTGGATCTTGATTCGCACAACAAAAATACATCTGCAAAGTTTTGGCCCAACCAAATGAATCCAGCCCCCCCCCCCCGCGGGGAACGAAATAGAACCTCAGCGCTTAGAGCATTCCTGTTGGGCACTTAAAGGTTAAAAGAGATTACTGCAAGACACAACAGCTTACCTTTCAAACTAATACAACTTTCCTGTTAAAACAACTCTGTTTGCTTGATTGCTTATACGCTGACGGCTGCTCTGTAATTTGAGGGAAAGTGTTATGTAAGACTAAACATTTCAAAAACAAGAATGACCTCTCCCTGTAATGCACAGATGTGAAATCTTAAAAATGTGACAAAGCAGCAAACAATAGAAAAATACGTTTCCGTACTACAACCGTGTTTATGCATTATTCGCAGCTCTTCTTTTGAGAGAAATGCCTTAATTGAAATTAGCCGAACCATTACGAAAGACCTATTTTAAAATTACCCCACCCTTTCGTTAATTCTTCCTTTTCTCTCTATTTTATCTTTCCTAAGAAAAACTGTGATTTGAATCTGTATGAAAGATTAAAGTTTACTTGCAAACCAGTCAGTTTTTGAACTCTGATGTGGTGATTTTCAGAGACATTTAGCTTGGACAATGCTGGACTTCAAACTGATATGTAAGATTGTCTCTCCGGGACAAAGTTTGATTGCTTTGCTGAAGACTAGACAATCTATAGCCAAAGTTGTCAAAGCGTAATGATAAAAAAGTAAAAAGTCTCCTACATTTTGTTATTGATCCAGTTAATAATAGGCTCACACATCTGGTTTTGAAATTGCAGCATATTGCCCTGAATCTTCACTCTTTGCAATGCCCGTGTCTTACAAAGAATAAAATACCGACAAGACAAGACAAATGCACGACTTCAGTTCCTAACGTAAACCCCAACTTTCCCTTTGTGTCATATCGAGGCTCTGGATGTCTTTGACGGCAAAGCTTGCGTGTAACAAACTTTAAACACAACTCACGGAGTGCAGGTTCTTCAGGCTGTCAGTGTTGACTCGTGAAAACATTTTCTCAAGGCCGTTCATACTTCACAATCCACTGAGTCTACTGTTGTCGTATAACTTTCTACACCCACCTGATAGTTAGGCATACCATGGAAAAAATACTTCTGGGTCAGCACCGTGCTTGGAAATAGGTCTCTCAGTTCGCCAACATGGGTTCAACCGCTTCTGCTCCATAGTGGGTTCGTACTCCCGCCGTCTGCCGGTACCGACACCACCATTGGCATGACTTCAGACTAAACAAAGAGTTAACATGGGCGATTTACAATGCACTGTACTACCAAGAGCTCTTCTTTGCAGTGCAATACGGAATTGATCGACAAAAATCTCTTCTCAAACTGGTAGTTACATAATACCAATACGAAAACATCAAATGACGCAAATGTATGTAATAAAATAGATTGGATTCATTCATTTCCCTCCTGAACTTACAAAATATTAACAGAATCGGTTTACCGCCTGGCCCGCAGCACACCACTTGCGGCAACCACACCCAAGCGCCAGTTTCAGCCCCGACGAATGGGGACAGTAAAAACGGGGCAGATACAGTTCATACGGGGCCACACTTCTTTATCCACAAATTAAAAAAAAATTGCAGAGACTGTGAATTACTGATTAATTCAAGATTCGAAATGAACAATCATAAAAACTTACTAATGTTCAGTGCGACAATGTGATTAGCGATCAGTAAGGTGACTCATATCTCGATTATTTACATTACTATGCCAAACTCACACTTCAGTAGAGTGCTTCTTTCCCGCGCTTACGCACAACCATTATGTCAGGAATACTTGTCTGCTAAGGTTAACCACCAAGTGGGAAGACAGGGTGACTCACGCCTGCTGCGCGTTATTATAGGGACTGCTAGGCTAAACTAGTATATTGGAATAAATAAAAAAAACTGACATACCTAGTAGAAGGGAACCAACGATGATAAACTTAAAATCCGAAAAACCGGTATAGATGCTGCATTTGCGTAATACAATACTTCAGGGTTTGAGTGGCACTGTTTTTACAAACCAACGGTATATCGCGGAAAAAATTGTGTTTGAAGTTTTATGGAAATATTTTGTAATAACTTAAGAATTGCGATATTTGTTGACTGAGAATAAATCAACAGATAAATACACTTCAGCGTTATAATATTGTTCATGTGTTGAGTTACTAAGTATATAAGAAACTGAGTTTTTAACTTAAAGACTTAACCATAAAACTTGGAACAATTATTACATAAGCCCGAAAAACAGGTAACCCCAAGTTGCTCTGAACAGAATATCTGTGCCCTTTAATCATAGAATTTAGTAAAATTTACCCGATCACTTTTACTAGGTTATGAGGTAAAGTTACGTACCTGTTTTGGAAGTAACATTTTACCACATTTTCTGAACAAACTTACCCAACACCTGTTTTGTACTAAAGTTACTTTACTATTTGCAGATCCGTATGGCACATACAATCTGTGTATTGTTATGCGTCTGTGAGCCAATCAGATTTACAGTCTCTATGTTATCTGGGTATATGATGAAATGAAGGGCCTGTAGATTTCTTTGGAGTAAGATATCAGACTTTTTTTAACTGCCCGTCACAAATATTGTGACGTCACGCCCCTTCGGCGGCGATGAGGGTGCCTTCCTCATCAGAGCGTGGACGGGACGGCACGCACCGGAGGGTTCCTGATTGGCTAGAGACGAGACGACTCGGATGAAAATATAGCGTCCCCAAAAAAGTTCGATGATCCCAGGTCTTTGTTGTGAAAAACACCCAACCTGACTGGCTCAACGCTATGAGATAACACGGACAATAATGACTTCGAAATAAAGGACCTCTGATACCTGTAATCTGTTTACAACTCGAAATTGGTTTCCTTTACACTTCTCAAGCCAAAAATGAAAGAGGGCGCTAATTGTTAGTAACTTATGACAGGAGGACTTAGTGAGGTGACCAGTTTAGTTCACGCAAACTAACATATAACGTGGACCGAATGATGGATCGTGGGAGGCGGTAAGGACCGCCAACCATTCAGGGAGCAGGGCCACCTTCGATCGCGCGCAGCACAGCTCAAAACTCTGGACCCGTAGCCGCGGCGAAACAACGTCCAAGAAAGGGGCAGTACGGTAAGTGGCACTACGTGCGAGCTCCTACATACAGAACTCTGAAACCAACTCGGTACAAACCACCAATGGCCCCTAGCACCAACTTACAAGGTTTATGAAGCCTTACCACACGCCCATTCTGTTACTTGCTCTGCCTTAACCACAGCTCTGGGTTTGTTATAACAGGAGCTGTCGCAACTGCACCTGCGCGAACACTACCTGTGACCAAGCAGTGACAAACATTCCCAAATAGCCTGCGCGCAAGGCGGAGCCTAAGCGCCGCGCCCACTTGACACTAGTCCTCGGCCAAGACGGCGGAACTCGATCGAGTATAGTATAATCCGCGGGTGCCGATTTCTATTGCGCCCTCTCTTGACTTAATTTCACCCATCGACAGCTCGTTCTACAGTCTCGAAAATCTTCTACAACCGAGGCCTGGCCTTCGTAAGCAAAATAGTTGTTTGATATGAATATTCACAATTGACCCTAGGATGCCAAATTGGATATAAGACAGACCGTGGGAGCGTTGGAGCGGGTTCGCATGACTGATTACAAATATCAACACATGGCACAGTTAAACCTAGATTCGCCCATCTATTATTCCTATCCCCTGGGCAAAGTTCCAACAAGGCTCAGTTGTATTGATCAAGCGAGATGCTGAAATATTGATGCACGTTATAGGCACGAACCTGTGTAAGAAATGATTAATAAAACTCCAAACGGTCCGATTTCTCTACATTTGCAGCCTGCAACAGCCAACAAACGTCCGATGGGGTGGAGAGCGGAGAGAGATCGAAGTGCGCATGCTTGGGCGTGAACATGCAGCACATGCGCCCAGTCGTGTCTGCAACATTGGGTGGTATAACCGAACGTATTGTCTAAACACATTGTTTAGTGTTTCGCTGTGATAATCAAGTGATAACCCACTATGCGTCTACGCAGTATATATACACGTTAAATCAGCTTAAATCAATCACATACAACAAAGGATTTGAATTTCATCGGCACTAGCCGCTATAAATAGGCGTTTAATGTCTAAAATACACACACAATATTAAACACGTGTACGTCTAAACACACCCAATGTGTTCAAATGTTTAATTGGTTTTAGTTTATTTACGCATTAATTAAACGTTCTTGTGTTTACAGTGCAATGATACAGCAAAATCTTGGCAAGATGGAATTGATCAGCCAGATAGAATAGTTTAGCTAAATATATGTACAACTACATTTTGTTATCTACACTTGTTTGTAATTTGTCCGTATAAAATTTGTTTACTGTATTCTTAGTATTTCAGTGACAAGCACTTATTATCTGAGTACATAGGCAAACATACCTGCAAAACTGAAGTACTTTATAGATGTAGGCCTTTTACTACATACTGTACATGTAACTACTGGCAGTATTTGAACTCTTAACTAGCAATCAAAGTAGAAATACTGCTCTTCAAAGTTTTATTCATTACGAGTAATAATTGACATCAATTCTGTGTCCGTACGACTATCATATTATTGTACCTAAAAAAATCTTTAAACGAGGACATGGAAAACTTTCCAAGTTATGGTACTTCAGTAACTGTCACACAAAGGTATGATTAAATGTAAGATCTTTCATAAGAGTGTTCTTCTATAACAGTTCAACCTTTTAGCTTGGAAGCACAGATTTTCCTGAAATGTGCCAAATTTAGGCAAAGAATTCCCGAAGAAATATTAAAGTCAACTTACGGCATAAGACATAAAGTTTAAAAATGACTATTTTATATTCAGATAAGATTTCCCCACCCCCTATCCCAGATTCATAAAAATATCCACACTTTCATTAACCATATGCCTTCTTTCGCTGAGACCACAGTCCACAAGATCCCTAGAAATGCTATTCCTCTCCCTCCTCAGCCTGCTGCTGGAGGCTGTACGATAATACATAATCATACCTCGGTGGGGGATTATCATAATCGTCGACAATGATGCGACAACGCATTCCTATACAAAACGGAAAAGACGAAGCTTAGGTGAAACTTTGATGGAAAATATGATGCCTAGTTTTTGCAGTAATTTTGCCGATTTTGCTGTTGGTGACATGTCTTTAGTCACTGTGTCAGTGTTATGGCTTTATCTCCTTGCTTTCATTTTGTTATAAACTGTTTGTTGTTGCCGCAGTTCCTGTTTTGCAATCCACTTGCCACTGCGGCTGCACTGTACCGGTGGGTGTTTGGGGTTAGTTTCAATATTTCTGTAGCAGGTGGGTTTTGTTGTTGCTGCTACTGTTAACGTTCCCTATTATTGTTGTTGTTCGTTGTGTTGTTGTGGGCTGTTTTGTTGCTTGTGATAGTTTACTCGCATTTCATACTCTTACCAATTGCTTCTAAGTAACTTGGAGGGGCATCGCTTGAGTTGTGTTCCACCCCTATGGTGCTGAAAATGATAGAAATTAAACGAGAGAAAAACGCCAGTAAAATTAACCCCTAAATTATAAACGATGCTGGAAAACAGTATAATTGCTTGTTTCATATATTCAGCATTTTCATGTGCTTATATATGAAAGAATTTGAACATGCCGGGCGAGGTATAGAAATAATATTAATAACGTAGCAGAAAAAAGGCGTAATGGTCGGTATTCTGGTCATCTGTGTGAAATAATCGTATATATTTCTTGTAGTCAAATGCGTATGAAACATTTAAAAAGTGCAATCACACTGTTGGTTTCAGCAAGGTTTCCAATTACGCAAAGGCTATTGTACATGAGCTAGTACAAATTACATTTTCCCAACTATTTTCGTAGAAATGGGACCCTCTAATTAGGGGTTATTTTGGTACTTACGTGTTTGGCTGGGCACCATTTCCTGCACACTCTTCTAAAATAAAATGAAAGAAGATATACACATTTTCGCCATGGCTAAGTGTATGACAGTTGGCGTTTTGATTTTGTTTTAGTTTTTGTGAAAGTTTAATGAGCCACGTTCCACCCCGTAACTAAACCTACTTCTTGGCATAATCACGGAGGAAAAGCTTTTTATTCCTCCATGGCGTGATAGACTTCCACACATTTCCATTTCACTGCATCTCTATAAGACAATTTTAATTAAGCAGGCCAGGAATGAATTGGCAGGCAAATGATCGTCACTGCTGCCAAATTCTATGGGAACATTTCAATGTCCTCTGAGTAAATTCACTCAATATTAAGGAATACGTCAGATGGTTTAGCCTTTCTTACTGGTCGATAGTCTGTCACGTAGCTGGTCTTCGACGGAAAATAAAACACCGACTGTCCATGACCGGGGGGGGGAATTCACCTCTAGGACGACGTGTGGGGTCAAAAGCCCTTTGGGGTACCGGCCTTACCTGAAGAGGTGGTTTTAACACAGCCACGCAACTTGCGGCGGTACCAGAACGCAAGGAAGGCCAACAGGAGTAGGAAGACGCCAAACACGGCCATTATAAACACAGTTGCATCCCTGTTTCTGCCATTCTGCCACGTTGGCAGAGGTGGCCGGGGGCCTGGAGCAGTGGACAAGTACTCTGTTTTGAGGGGAAAATAGACATTTATTCCACACTGCAAACTGTGCTCAGCATTTAAACACAATCTTGCAACCACTGGTAATTATAGGCTGGATATGATCAACTCTAAACAGCATCGATAAGTTGATGAACATTGTCCGTTGATATCCGAAACGTGTTTCGAATATAAACATAATTTAAAACCCACAGCAAGAAAGTGCTTTTTTTTCACCATGACTCTTCATGGGCGAGGCATCGGTGGAAGTGTAGCCTTCAGAAACAATGCAGGCTTACCCAACGGAGTGACAAAAATGTTTCACATTTCTGTTTGCTCTTATATCTGAATTAACTCTTGAGTCCTTTTGGACGACAAACAATGAGCAGGCCTACCAAATTATGGAGACTGTAGTGGCCGGTGAAAAAATAGACAGTAAGATTTTCTATTTTTTTTTGGATAATTCTGCAACAGAATGTGGTAAACTTATGTTTAACCTATTTACCCAAAGTGGGCATGTTAATGTTGACGCATTGCCTATTTGTCCCGCAAACTGTAAAAGTGGGTATATGCACGTCATAACATATAAATCAATTCGAATAAATGAATATTCAAATATTCGACTTAACAGTTGATCAAATATTCGAAAAGCTTGTTCCACGTCATTCTCACGAATGCAGGTACAAAATATGCATGCTTGTGAGGTGCTCACATCCGTGACATTTAGGCCGGGGGAAAATAATGTTTTGGCCTTCTTGTTGGTCATCTATGCCTCAGCTACCTTGACGTTTAGTCGACACACCTTAAAATACGTCTGTAGAATACAGTTATTTCAGCAAATAACTCATTTTCCCCGTTTCAATGTCACTGCTTTTACTTTTTAATATTGAATTTCGAAAATAACCATTCAAAAATCGATAATCGATCAGAATATTTAGCAGAGCTTAGAGACTTAATATATTTAAAACTCGCTTTTGTTTTGCCTGCCGCAGTATAAGCAGGTGCTAACATTGTCACGAGTTGAAGCTTACCCTCCGTTATATGGGATTCTTTGCCGCACACCCCGTCCCTGCAGTACCGGCAATGCATATGACCGGCATGCGGCCCAGAGTACTGAAATTCGCCGTCATGCTGAATGCAGTCCAGGTCTGGCCTCAGACTCACCCACTCGTTGTGTTCAACGTCATAGCCCGTCAACTGCAAGCAGGTCCCGGCATTGTCGCCCTTCGGCATGCCGGCGACAAAGAGCGTCGTTTGTGCCACGCGGTATGACACACGGATACCTGTCCGGGGATTGACAGTAGTGATAAAAATGTGAAACGAGTGGCACAGACCCCCCCCCCCCGAAAAGTAGAGGAAACAAAAAGGCTGTTCAGTAATCCTAATTTCATTTTCTGTCAAAGTCATCAGTGTATTTCAAAAGTTGCCCAACAGTGTAAGTTTGCCGGCATAGGAAATTGCGCCAAGAAAACGCTATAAGCCTATATCGTATTTTTCTGTCACGTTTAAAGCTCAAATGCAAGGAGAGAAAAAAATTGTTGGCTTTTCTGGTTTCTTTAATAGGTTGTATATTTCTCTTAAAAACTAAAATTTATTGGGAATTAAAAGACCACAGGTACCAAATCAAATGGTGCAGACTAAAAACATGGGAATTTGATTTTTCTTTTATGTGATTAGAGTGGAAACGTTTTGGCACCAGGATCGAAGTCAGTGGCGTGTCCACCTGTGTGTGTGTGTGGGGGGGGGGAACAAATTCATAAGCGAATGTGGCTTCATGCTTAATATTCAACATGAAGTTTGGGGGAAAATCCTGACTTCGTTGTTCTTATTTGCTGGTGTTGTTTTCTTATGATTTTAGTGCTAATATTACTTTCTTTCCTACTCGCCTATGGAGTATTCTTTCTGAACAAAATATGTTGCCCCCTGCCAACCCCCCCCCCCTGCTGAATACACCTGTGACTGAAGTAGGCCTACTTACCCAGCAATAACGGTGAATTGGCTGAAACACCACCAAAATGGAAAAGAAAAGAAGCGCAGAAAACTGTTAGACTGTTTATTATCAATTTATAGGTTTGAAAATTTTCACTGTTTCTTCGTTGTTTGTTTAATAGGTTTCTCTATATTGCTTATAGGTGGCTGATATTTCTAAAATGGATTCAAAGAACAATATAGAAAATATTCAAAATTCAAAACAAAAAACGTGAATACTATTTGGTAACTTGGGTTTGTTTTAGCTCTCACGGGTTGCCCAGTAGATCGTGTACGGACTTGGAGGCAGTGTCTTGCAGTCGTTTAGCACGCAGTATTAGAAATAGGCATAATATGCAACCGATAATGTATCTCGGTTAGCGGACGATTTGCGCTGTCACATACCAATAGCACAAGTTAGAGTGACAGACGACACTTACGTTTCGTGCGTTTGTCCACCGTTGCGCAAGGACCTGAACCATGTCTGTTTTGGGCGTACACGGCTACCTGATAGGGCGTGTCCTGTTTGAGGTCACTGAAATGACCACGGGGCCAGTCTGGGTTGAGTTCATTCCAGCCCAGAGGGTCGAAATCTCGGGGAATGACGCGAATGTTGATGTAATAGAACTCCACCGTCTCGCCACCGTCGTAACCTGGTGCCCAAACCACCCGCATATCATTCTCTGTAACGTAATATGCTCGAAGATTTTTTGGTGCATCAGGCTTTCCTGAAAGAAATTTAAAAAAATTACACATGTAGAAACCAAACGAGTAGAATAATGTATGAACCGTAACGCTACAGAAAAAAAGAGGTACCTGAGTTTACCTTAACATAATGAAAACATGTAATACTTAGTAAGTTTTAGGAGTGCCCTCATGCACCTCAACATGCTATTTGAAACTTGCCTAGTAGGGTTATAAGGACTGCATTCGTGAAACATACGTCCCAGGTTCCCGGTCCGTTCTGAAGACCTATTCGCATTCGTTGCCCAACAGTCCTTCGTGATTGAGGCATCACTGGTATCCAAGTAAAGAAAAATCTTAGCTGCATTCAATGGCGCGATGCTTACGTCGATGTGAGCCATACCCGCATAACTTCGCTGCTAAATGTTTGAGACAGGTGAGATTTGCAGAGTACCAAGATCGCCTACCTTAGAGGTATTATGCATGGGACGCATGCACAAATCAAGATGGCGAATAGTAATTTGAGGACAGCGTGGAATTTACCGAGCGCTGAAAAAGACTGAAGTTACGCGCTGACATATGAATGATTGAAAGAGCGGAGGGAGCCAGTCCCATTTACTTTGTCACTCCATAAATCAAAAGTGTTTTGGTGACCCCCCCCCACTTTTTCGACAGGATTGGGGAACTGTCTTACAGTGTAAAAAACGTTGGTCAAAACAGTGTTGGGCATTGTTATTTGCCCAACCTTTGTTAAAGCTACCACATTGTTGATCAATTTTCCGTCACTGTTGGTCAAACATTGACCAAATAGTGGGAAAAATTCACCCAAAGGTTGCTAAGTTGATATTTTTACCAACATTTGGCAAACTATCAATCCAAAATCGACCAACCCTTTTACAGTGTATAATTGGGTAAGGCTTAATGGATCTACTTATGGATGACTGATGCCTGATGATCTATCAACTGGCCCTCCCATTTTGAAAATCATTGAAAATCATGTTAAGCCTAACATGGAGCGCAGTGACTTCTATATACTTCTAACTACCTATCGCCAGTCCAGTTTTGTTTACATGGAGATCATTGCATTACATATGAGCGTCATAACAACAGAGAGGGGGAACAAAGCCATGTACTAAATTTACCTGTATTATTCAAATGTATTTCATGTTCATCATACAAACTGATGTTGTTGGCAGCTCTACATCTGTATATTCCGTAGTCGGTGCTCCGCACTGTGAAGATGGTCAATTGACTCTCGATTAAAAATCCCGTAATTTCATCTCCAGATATGGTATCTTTCAGGTAAACTCGACCAGGATCAGTGTCGTTAGTTATTGCAGTGTCTTTGGTACTGTACCACATGACCGTAGGAAGGGGATTACCCACGATGACGCACTCTAAAGTAGCTGGGTGGTTCTCGTCAGCGCCAATCCACGTCCTGTCTTTATTCGTAATTTCAGGGCGATCTAGCGTCGGAGACAAATAGGAATGAACTTGTTCTGTGAACCTTGCGAAAGTCTTCAGAACCGCTTTGGATCTCATAAATAATGTGGCTTGGGGGGATTTCTTTCGTTTTTAAAAATTTGCGGCTGTGATGACAGACGCATATCATGAACAGCTGAGATTTAATAACAACTTTGCTTCATTAAGCATGCTATAGGCCAACTGATTTGGAAACTGCGAGTAAAAAGGTTTTGTATGCGTTGCTTTCACTTTGTTGGAAGCTAAATCTACTTACAAAAGATCTTAACAGCCGTCCACTTCGAGAATGCTCTTGGCTTCCAATTAGACGAAGGCATTAATCTGCTCCCAGCGCATCGGTACCAGCCAGATTGGTTTCCGTGCACCTCACCTAGAGTCAGGTTCGTGTAGATTACTTGATACGTCGGTTCAGTGAGATCAGTTGAGAATATCTGATCAAGGCTGAACTGCCACTGAATCCACCCGCCAGAGGGTGGATCGCTGTCGATGATGCAGGTGCATAAGACATCAGTGCCCTCGACGACAGGGCCCCGTGGAGACGTGGTCATGGCAAGGTCCCAATCTGTACGGGTAACCAAACGGGAAAAAAACCCAAGTTGTCGAAATGTGCGTGTAGGCTGAATGCACGGCAAGCCCCCTACCCTCAATCCTATAAGGGCCAGGGGCATAACATCTAGACATTTTGCTTAGAAATAATCGTGACGCACTCTGTAATACATTGCCCGAAAGTAAAGGCCAACCAGGAAGCTTCCAGAACCCTAGCTACGGGGATTTTACATGTACGGGGCCGTCCTATAACAGTTGATAAGTTCTGGACAAATGATTCCTGCCTGACATCACCCTGAAACACTCATGTTGGAATTTTGCTTTGTGTTCTTTCACCAATATCTTTTGAAAAGTCGACTTGAGATTAGTAAAAACAAAAAAAAACAAAAACAACGGCGTTTCATTTCCGTCAATCTTGTTCTTAAGTCTCCTTGTTCACTGACGTTTGTTTTTGAGATTGTATAACGTTGCAAATATTTATGTACCTACAGTTTGGAGTTCACGCAGACGCTGTTTCCATAGGTCAAGAATGACAGAAACAATGGAAAAAAACCCAAAGAAAAAGGCAACCATTCACTTGAAAATAACCGAGACGATGTGTCACTGGTTACGTACGCCAAATGATATGCAACCAACAGCTGTATGTGAGCGTCGATCGGAATTCACACCAAAAAGTTGAACACAGTGTGTGTGGCTGTATTTCGCGGGCACATTGTTAAAACCCTTCTATAAACCACCGAGATAAAAGACGCGTACCTGTCGCCTCATTTTTAAATAAATGTTGTTGTTTGTTTTTTGTGGAATTAAGCTGAAGATTTTTGTAATTCTCGACCTACAAGTGTCCTTTAAGACTGCCAAGTCCTTTCAACCCAGCTGTAACCGTTGTAGAGTACGGCCTAATGAAATACCAGTATTCCTTAGGCTTCCAACCCATACGATCTCTCGCAGTAAGTGGGTCTCTCTGTTGACGGACATGTGCCAACAGGTTACGGCTGTTTGGGTTGTGACTGGTATTTACTGTACTTTCGCAGCACTAAACGGATTGCAGATAGAGATGGGAGCTCATGGGTGTATTAGCAGCCACAAAACTGTCGTACATGTTCATCGGGGTACCGAGCTACAGCCATAACCGGGAAATGACCTGGATATTTTTTATCCACGTCGCTACCCCGTGTAATTTTGTGGGCGTGGCTACTCGCGGGGAAAGCAGTTGACTACATAGTGGTGTAACCGCGGGCCCGAACATGTCCAGTAATGATGACACGTTTCCCCATTTTACACATCATACATTAAACATTTCTGATGACTCCTGAAATGCACATTATTCAAGTGAAAACTGTAATCTTTGGCATACAAGAATTGTGGAGGGGGGGGGCAAAGGCCCATAATCTCGGGGGGGGGGGTTCACAAATGATGAGAGAGAGGCTATTTCAATCCATAAATGCGTAAAAAGCCCTCACATTTTGCCTTAACCCGACAGGCCATCATGGAAATAGTAAAAAGAAATTTACATTCTAGGCTACCCAGCAAAAAATGCCATTTGCTCTTGGGCCAAATTCAGACAAGCTCATATCCTTTATCAACTGGAATCTATGTCATTGATTCGCATTTACCTACATTTATCACAAATATGCACACAAAATTCTAATTTGTCACCACAGGACGATGTGGAGCACAAGCATAACATAAAACAAGAGACTGTTCAGAATGTTAAGCCTTGTTATTAGGTCGGTGACTCGGAAATTCCCAACTAAATACATGTGGTGGTTATCACTCTTTTACGGCTGGCTACATGTTTGGCAGTAAACGGTGTTTTTCGTTTGCATGGCTGTGGCAAAACTTACACTGTGATGACGCGTGAACCAATGCCATTACAACAGCTACGTGCCTGACGTACGCCATCTTTTCGAGAGTTGCCTTGGGTTGTGTCTATACACATAACATTATTTACAGCAGTAGTGTGTGGAGTTTGGACTCAATTTTTGACCCTAGTCGTATTTGCTGTACTCTTTCACTAGAGGGCAGTGCGAACGCAGACAAGCCAATGCCATGCTATTATTGGCCTAACGATCTATACACGTACTCCTTTGTAACGTACAGAGGAAGGTAGTCAGTTCTTTTACATGAAGTGTGGTCCCAAAGGGGCAATACTATCTTGATAATTTCTGTCTAAATTCAGTGCTACTGATTTCAATGATCAACCAGTTGTGAGTGGAAGCATACCCAGTCTAGTCGGTGGAACCTAAAAGGCCAAACGCAGTATGCCACGTGTTGGCTAAAAGATGCTGGATTGAATAAGCCTGGCTTCTTTTTATTTGCAGTTTTCGATGTCTGCACAGAACCCTGTAAAGGTCACCCGAATGTTATCCTGAAGACTGAACTTTTTACATGGGGTATTTAGTTCTGGGAACAACACAATGTGTCTTCAAGACACGCAGTTGTCCTTTTTGATTTGTCAGTTTCTTCAAACTGAGAGATTTTGCAAGACGCTTTTGTTCTGTTTTCAGAAATGTTCACATTACAAAAATGCCTATACCGATTCGAGTCGCTCCGCTCCTCTCACAAAATGTAACTGTCGAATTTACTCTACCAGGGATAATAGACCAAATGTAACAGCAAACGAATGCCCCCCCCGACAAAAATAATTCTGCCGTGACAAATCGAAAAAGAGAAAGGTAGGAGGAGTTTTCAAACCACAAAATGATTTCAAAGCTTACAATCTGTACAACATAAAAGTGAATAAAATATTAGGTACGGCATTGAAAAGAAAAAAACCTTCTCGTTTCTCCTGTTGGTGTCAAGAGTGATAAAAATGACAATTTCCTATGAGGCCCCTAGCTAACCAAACGAGGGCACAATTTTTCTGCAACAGGGGCTCTTTGGGCGAAACTGCATCTCGCTCGGTTGCAAACGACTATGAAATGCACCAACCAACCTGGTTCCATTCAACCGATAAGGAGTACTTCTACAAAAGGAAATTTGAGTTTACAGAGCTCTAAAGGTGGTGTCAGAGTTCTGATTATAATTAAACCTGGATGGGGGCGAAGGCATCCAAAAGTGAGAAATAAAAAGGACGAAGTAGTGACTTTTGCCTTTGCCATATAAATACCAAGTTGTTACAGACGCAAAAAATTTCAGGCCAATGAAGCTGGGTGTCTGGCTTTACACAAGAGGCCTACAGAATGCCAGTCGGCGAACTTCTTTCTGTTTCAAAGTCTTCTTTATGTAAAGTATACAACTCGACAAGATAATAGCCCATAGAACCCATCTCACGGATGAAAATAAGGAGCAGTTATTATTAAGAATTTAAGTAAATTGTGGAAAACATGTCTCCTTCAGTTAAACGCTAAAAGCCGGCGAAAATGCACGTTAGTCTAAGAAGTAATGTTAGCTTTCAACAGACAAAAAACGTCTATAAGTTCGATGAAATCCAAAATGGGCGGCAAGGACACTGTCACGGCAATGTTTTTAATTTCTGCTGGCTGTTGTTAGTTGCAAAATGAAATTGGACTTATCAGAGTTGCATTTACTCGTTTCTTACAAATATTCGTTCATATAACTGGCACAGATATCTCAGGATCTCGGATGGGTGATAATGTTCTGAAAAATAAGGTTTGTCAATATTAGTTCAATCATGTGTGTTCTCGTGTTAAAGCTGTAGCAGTTGGCTTGCCACTCTTCACGTCACTGCTAATATATATCACTTGAACACGTGTATATGTCATTGTTACCCAATAATAGGCAACCACTATTTGTCAAATTGTATAAAACGTGGCTTGAAGTTTAGGCGTTTAAGTAATAACCTCACAGGCGGTTTTATAATTTAAACTTTTCAAAACCGAACATGTGCAAATCACATCCATAGACTTAACTATAAACATACGTTTCTTTTATTAAATAAAAAGTGTTTTTAGCATATAGATATGTCATATGTGTTAATTTATCGACGTGTAAAAATGTTTAAAAAGTGCTACAGATTTGCGTTTCATTTGTGTTTAGAAGACACTAGGGTTTAACGGTGAGAGAATGCGTCTTCGTGACAGCATAGGGACAAGCAGTGCGTTGCTTTCACGTTCTTGGATTCTGAAATCTCTTCTTTTAGAAAAGCCTTGGTGAAAAAGTGGAATTTCGATAACACCTATCCACCTTTTTTTGCTCGCCAAAAGGTTAGTGAGACACAGTGGCGTAGCCCGTAGCCAGGCTCTTCTAAGAGAAGGTAAGAGGGGAAGCAACCGTTCCTACAGGGCCCAGTTGGCCCTTGCCCATCCTTGCTTTGCCACTGGTGGGAGAATTTGATTTCGACTTCACTTACCTTCGTTGAAGACTCCACGGAACGCATTGCAAATCTCACAATATTTNCTCTTGAAGACTATCGGTTGTTTCAATAACTGGAGAGCGCAGGCTTGTCACGTGGTACTTAGCAAGCAAAATCTCAACTAACATGCGGTACATGATTTCAGGTTTGCCTTAGTATGTCCTGGTATAGAGAGTAGTTAGGACAATCTGTTGTGCTGCGTCAGCGTTTCGTAGGCTCTCCCATGGAGACTTAATCTTAGGTTAACACCCCAAACAGAGATGGTGGTCTTCAGTGTTGTTTGTGTGTCCTTCCCCTTGTATGGCTGCAAGGCCTGGACTCCCTATGGATCGCAGATTCACACCCTGGAGACTACAACGGTTGCTTGCGCTAATACTGGGATAGCAATGGTGGCAACGGCTCACAAACACCGAAGTACAACCACGTCTAGCCGTGCCCCCACTAGAAGTCCTGTTACTCCGCCATCTGTGATGTCAATATTATAACTAGTGCGGAGAAGCCCCAAGGATTGCAACGTATTGAAGTAACGGGACCACTTCGTATAAAGCTTCGGTTTTATTGCACACCACATAAATACCAATTTGTATGCCTATAAAGAAACGTTTCTTAATTGAACAACGCTTGGTGTATTGTTTACTTAGATAGCAACAACTTTGAGTTAAATGTGCGGTGAATACATTCCGTTTTGAAGAAATCAGCCCCACTAATATTGCTGCCTTCCTTTGTGCAATATTAAATCCTGACGTGTAAGGGATGCCGAAAATTAATTTTTGTAGCCTTTAACGTATACCCTGGTACATGTTGTCTATCTAATCGCTTGGCTTAATCATGAGTGCTAATGAACATGGGTGGAATGGTTTACAACATTGTTCGCTCAGGGATAGGCAGCTTTGAGCAAGGCCATTATTCGGAAGACTAATAATTTCCATTATTTTTCAATGCAGTTGAGGCCTTAATGTAAGTCTTGAACGTTCTACATGTGTTTACCTAGGTAAAATACCAGTAGTAAAAAATGTTTGAGCCACTTGACAATGAATTTATCAAATATAGTTGGGTTATTGTGTCCTTGAGTGGTTCAAACTAATAAAGACAAATAACAAAGCAAAAGGAACTATGTAAAATGCTGAAAAATCATATAAGAAAAGACATGATTAAGTCATGATGAAAACAAAAGTTAATTAAGGTGGCATTTTTATAGTCGCATGCATGGCTCCTCATTTAACGACGTCACCAACAAATCCTGTCAATTTCCTGCATAACAATTTCCTTTCTAGGAACCTGCAAGATTTCAACCGATATTAGATATTAGATATGAGCTTCAAGGTTCTTTGAAGGGTGGATGTTTATTGTCCTGTTACTGTCCACCGATGGCGTTATAATTATGTCAATTATCTATATTATTTACTTCCCTTGCTGGATACTTTTGCACCTTTAATATCGTATTAAAGGTGCAAACGTTACATGACATATTAATGATATTAATATTATTTATATGTCATGTATATGTTAATATGTTATGTTAATATGTTGATATTAATATTATTAATATGTCATGTAATATTATTAATCGACTCGCCAAGAGTCGATGAATGCTGACAAAAAATTGTACATGTATTATGTTTGCAGGGGAGAATCGAGAGAGCATGAGTCACCTTGGTATATCTTGCTAACATGCATGCAATATACTCTACTGTGAAGTAAGGCAGCGCGAGAAATCGAGAGAAATCAAAGCAGCGGTTAAATGACAGAGTTAAGGTTACAGCTGAGGTCACACTTTGTAGACTGCCTATGAGTCCGTATTGGAGCAGCAATGAAGGTACCGTTTCGGGGTCACGACCATTCTAACTATCTCGACTTTGCCTGTGTACGATCATTGTATTTAGGGCCATAAACCTTATAATACACACTTAAGCAATGCGGAAAGACGGTGCAGTAGCGGGAATTTGTGCTGCCTGGAAAAGGGGGGGGGGCTAGGTTGAAAGTGGGAATGACTTGCCCAGCTATTTGCAAACCGGGGAGGGGGGTTGACACCATATTCAGGTTTAGGTTTATTTGTCATTCTAAAAGCGTTGGAATACATTTGGGGAAATCTAAATAGTATTTTTAAATACAGTATGGGGAGGTCAGAAAAGAAGCTGAAGGTTGTACTGGGTCTGCCATAGGACAAAAAAAGACAAAATCATAACACTGCAGAGGGGCTATGGCCATTAAACAGATGTACACCTTTAATATGTAATACATTCCTACAGAATATTTCATAAGAACATTTTCTTTTTATATTGAATACATTTGGGTTGTCGGCAATTCAGAAAAATACTTCACAATCCCCCTATTCTTTTTTCTTACCACAAAAGAACAGGGACGAGGGTAATTCAATACACCGTCCCCCTTGTAAAATAAAATAGGGAAAGACCCCCAATGCCCCTAGGATTTACGCCCATGACTGTGAGCTTGGACGCCAGAGAAACCAAAATGGTGTATACTCGAGATACTATGTATAATACGAAACGACTTGAAGCACAAATTGTTGAGCCCGGTCAAATACTCGTTACAAACGCCGATGGTACGAAAGAGGAGAAGACAAAAACAGCGGCATAACAGTTTTCCTCATTTCACCAAAAAGAAACAAAGTGGCACTCGATACACCGAAAAATGCACATAAATCGTCTTTTCATAGATGGCAAAACCACATCTTGAAGCCAAAAAGCTTTCGACTTTGATAGATTTTCATTAATGTCAGCTTTTATGTTAACAATTGGGGCAGCATTTTTTTTCATTTCTTAACGCGTCGTGCTTAGTTGGTTCAAAGCGCAATTGTAAGGCTGAAGAATTTGCGGTAAAAATACGCCCTTGCAGCTTTTTTGGGAAAGAAAATCCTACGTTAATTAACTGGTCATCAACTGGTCCTCCAACACAACAATGTTCATAACAGTACGTTTCAGAGATAAGAGTCCTTACGTTTGTCCTCGACCCACTGAAAAGTTGGGGGAAAAAAAGTTGCATCCTGCGTCTGCGTCAACGATTTTTTATAGAGTCTGTGTGGATGACAGAAAAATTTGAAGGTACTTTCAAATCAACAACTTGAATTTTGGGTTAGGTCCAAATTTATGTTTTCTCAGCATTTCTGAAACGAACGACCTTTTAGAGATAAGAATCCTGTGACACGAACAAGTGGTAGCAAAATACAACATTCTTTCAGAAAAATGTAGGATCCAACCCTACTTTAAATTCAGGAAAACAGCTGAGTGTTTCCAATCCACCTTGAGAACAAGCATCCCCCATAGGTTGAAAAAGAGCTATATGGGGTTGGGAGTGGTTTTTTTTGTTGGTAACCACGTGACCGAAACGCACGTATTTCATATCCTTTTGAGAATCAGCGAAGAGCAGTTCCTACAATGAGCCTCCAAGTCCCTCGCAGGGAGAAACTGCGCCTGCTTTGAGTTGAGCTCAGGGCTCAATTTGTACTTGACGTCTAGGTATGGAACTTTTTCCCTTGAATATGTGGAAAAGTCACTGTTGTGCGAGTACACCGTTGGAGTGATTCACAGTTGGCCTCACATGTTTTGATATCTTCTGTTACGTGGATCATAAATGAAAAAGGGAAAAACTCACAAGGAAAAACGTCTGCAAATGCCGTGCTCGCTAAGTTGAGTGACCCAAAATCAAATTAACAAGGCCTTACTATGAGGGATGCCAGTGCGCCCTCACTTGACAGGGGCATTTTCCAGCGCACGCAGAACTGTCAGTCTTCAAGCAAGAATTAAGTGAATCATTTTATCCGGCACGATCAAGAGCATCTAAGATCTTAAGTTGTCGATTTTGTATGATTTTTGTGCAAAAAGCTTGGTTCTATTTGCTTGGAATTCAGGTCGCGAGCATTACTGTACTCAACGTGCATCAAGTGCACACAGGGACTGTGAACATTGTACTTGTATTTACGTGTGTTTTGTGTGTTTGTGTGAATCAAAAGTCACACAAAAAGACACTCTCTACCAAGCCAAAATGATCCATGAATGGACAACATTTTAAAGCAACCAATGACCAAGTGAACACCTGTTTTGTCAAATGATGTGCATGAGTGGTTTCTGCATAGGGATGCCATCCTTACTGACTCTGCATACACATTATTGAAAAGTAATGATTGCGACTTCTTTATTTCGTCCTGTGACATTGATTTCTGCGTAAAACTGAAGGCTCATTCTGTGACCTTTGATTCAGTAACGATGTTGCTGTGCATGTCAATTTCTTCTTTGTTATCAAATTAATCACAGGCTTTTGGGCATGTGATTAGTAACGGGTATTGCAGCATACCTGTGTACAAAAATTGTTTATTTCTATGGAGTGAAGTTTTATGTGTGGCCTTTGATAGAAAAGTTGTGTCCTTGGCTGAATCACTGCTGCAAGTCTGTCTCCTAGACGTGAACCAGACCAGGATTCATCTCCCATCACATTGCGTTTTGGACTGAAGGAAAATATTTATATCAAAGGCTTTAATTTGGTTGATGTTGACCATTTCTTTTAATACATGTGAGTAGTCTTAATCTTAACACTGTGTTGGTCGTTACTTTGTTGCATAACAGAAAATCCTTAATCTGCAGGTTTTTCCAAAGTCCTTCGATCTATTTTCTATTTTTGTAAAAAGGAATATGTCTTTATTAATGCTTTAGATTGCCGAACCTTATTGCCGCTACTTGAAAACATCAAGTAGCGATATGCAACAGTGCAGAGGGTAGGGTAAGGTAGCTGTAGAAATCACCAGACAACACAAATTAAAGACACAAAACCAAACCGTAGGTTAATGAGCCATTTATTCCTAATATTCAAATTCTACAAAACATTCTAAAACCACACGCAATCGACACCTAAGCTCCAAACCAATTATCGTAGCCCTCAAACCCCAAACCTGAGACTTGTAACTTGAGGTCCTAAATTTCCGAATTAGGAAATGATCCTGAAACCTACGCAGCGACTAAATCAATGTCACAAACACCCCTTCATGCCAACAAACATTCGAAATACAGCACTTTATAACATACACATAAAAAAGCAAATGAAGATTCTATACGAGCAGCCTGATTGAAATTATCTTAAGGGTTAAAAATAGCAATTGAATTGACATTTCTATCCCATGCAGATATTCTCCACGTTATCATCACAGGGACCAAAGTAGTAGACGGTCTTGTGGACACACTGTCTCCACCCAGACGCCCAAGAACAGGAAAAAAACACGAGGATGAGTCTTCCGTCATCTCTTCAGTGTACACATAATGCTCCATGGCTATACTACCTACTATACTACAAAACGTAAATCTTCGTGAAGCAGATGAAATGTAAGTCTTGCAAAGATGGCTTATGACGTGTACACATTACATGTACCATATACATCCAATCAATATAAGCTACATTTAATGAGGAGTCTCGCATACCTAACACTGAGAACACCTTTAGTTCGATAAAATATATAATGTCTTGATTTGGAGTCTCTAGCCCACTGCACAAACTTTAAAACTGTTACTAATTATTGCTGACAACATGCTTACACGAAAACACCTGAAACACCAAATCTAGGGTAAACCTGAGCTTTCGTTAAGAGTTGCACCTTTGATACGACTGCCCAATACCTCTACCTCCAAGATTACGACGACCTCTCTACCTACATTTTGTTGTACTGGTAATGCATGGTTCAATAACTCCACTGTCACAGACCAAAAGAAAATTGAACGGATCACGAAGACTGCTAATAACATAATAAGGTTCTGAGGAGAAACCGATAAAGCACATTTCTGACACGAATGCACCCAAAACACCAAATGTAGGGTGTACATGAGCTTTTGTTAAGAGCTGCATCTCTGATACGATTGACTCAAACGATTGACTCTACGATAACGACGACTTACCCACCTACATTTTGTTGTATTACATGGTACAATAACTTAACTTTCAAAGAACAAAAGAAAATTGAATGGATCACTAAGACTACTAGTAAGATAATAGGTTCTGAGGTGAAATTGATAAAGCACATTGCTGAAGCAAGTAGTCTCACTAAGTTACAGGATTTTATTCAGGATCCCACTCATCCTTTACATTCGTTTGTGCATAATCTTCCACTGGGTAGATACCGTGCCTTTGATACTCGTACAAATCATTTTAGGTTCTCATTTTTACCCGAGACGATCCATCTGTTTAATTAATCTTGCAGCTGCTTTTTCTCTTAGATGGTCTGTTTTTATCAAATGAAAATAGTTATCGTTTTTATTTCATTTTGCCAACAGATTAAAATCCGTATTAGTAGTTGTAATTGAAATTATTTGTAATCTATTTGATTTGATATATTCAATATTTATAGAGATTTCTTTGTTTTAAATTGTAATATTAGAATGATTATTTACAACACCAGAGGAGATAAATTTCACGTTTTATTTTTGAACCGTCATGGAATAAACTAAATGAATGGATGATTAAATCATTCTGACACCAAAAACGTTCGAACAACGCGAGGTATTCGCCGGGGAGTGGACATTTAACTGTACACTTTTACACATAGGCGTAAATAAAGGAGGGGGTGGGGCATATATCCCCCTTTAGAAGGGGGTGGGCTATTGAATCATCCCCCACCTTTTGTGGTTAGTAGTAAATTAAAGCAGGTTGTGACGAACTGTTTAAACATCCGACGATTAAAGTTCATTCAATATCACTGAAATAATAATAATGATAATAATAGACACTTTATAATGCGCTGTTCCATAAAAATGATAAGCGGCGCAGTACAAGTTAAGGTAAAAAATAATTCATTTCAGAAAGGAAAAGATGAGGATAAATGAATATGGATAAATGAATGTCACCGCGCTAGTACCCAAACCGCAGTATGGGGATGCGTCTGCCCCACCAACAGGGAGAACCTGACCCTGCTGGTCTAGGTCATGTCTCGATCTTTCCTGGGGACAGACGCCTCTAGCCCTACCTACGATAAAAGAAAAGTAATTATATCGGACACGGTGACACTAAAATATAAGAATCACATCTAAATCTACGTTAAAATTAAAAAAATAATAACCTTACGAGATAAAAATAAAATCAAGAATCTTGCAGTGCAATATCACTGTGCAAATGCAATATTAAAAAGGGAAGTTTTCACTTCACATTTAAAAACGGCAAGATTCTGCTCGCACCGTATGTGCCACGCAAACGCCTTGTCACCAAGTGTGGGTAGCATTTTATCATTAGGGTAATTTAACAAAGGACTGTTGCTTGCTGAACTGAGATGGTATCTAGACTCCTTGTTTAATTAATGACAAGATTCATTAAGCATCTAGGAGCAAGACCATGGATGGCTTTGTATGTTAACAGGATGATTTTGACCTTAATCCTGTACAAAACAGGTAACCAGTGAAGGTGAAACAGCATTGGTGTTATGTGTTGAAACTTGGGTGTATTCGTAAGAAGTCTAGCTGCAGCATTCTGGACTCGCTGGAATCTCATTATCTGCGCTGCTGACAACCAAACAAAGGACTATTACAATAGTCCAGACAGCTGGTCAAAAATGCGTAAATGAACACTGAAGGCCAATCTCGAGAGAGGAATTTACTGATGCACCTAAGATTGTGAAGGTGGAGAAATGCAGCACAACAAGCCTTAGTGATGTGGGTGTCCATTGTCATATCCGAGTCAAACCATGATCCCAAATTCCTGACGCACGTGGATGGAGGGATTAAAGAATCGCCCATTGTGACGTTGGAAATATTTATTTTCTGCAACTGTTGCCTGGTTCCAATAATCAGGATAATCACAAATAGCACCATTGATCATTAGCCTGTCTCGCAGCATCCAATTTCTAATGTCCAAAATATATACTTCCCATTGCAGCTAGAGCTGTTTGGCAGGAAGCGTCATCAGATTTAAATAATAAATACAACTGTGTGTCGTCTGCATAACGATGAACATCAGGCAAATGGTCTTCAATGATGTCAAATAGTTTAGAAGCATAAACCGTAAATAAAAGTGGTCCTAAGAAGGACCCTTCAGGGACACCACAGTTTAGATAATATTTCTCTGAGAGAGTACCCTGAATAAAAATACGTTGGCTTCTGCCAGATAAATAAGATGAAAACCGTGCCAGCGCTTTACCAGAGATCCCAACTTTAGATTCTAAACGTTGCAACAGAATGGTGTGATTAACTGTATCGAAGGCAGCACTTAAGTCCAAGCGAACAAGCAAAATGACATGCTGAGAGTTCATTATCAGCAGTATGTCATTCTTGACCCTCAGGAGAGCCGTCTCAGTGCCATGATACTTTCGGTAAGACGATTGAAAATCTGGAAACAGAGAATGTCAACACGTGGGAGTAAAGCTGATTACACACAGCTCTGTCAATTTAGAAATGAATAGTAGATTACTAATCGGCCGATAATTACTAAATCGGATCGAGGTTTTCTCTCTTCAACAAGGGACGCACCAAAGCTTCTTTCAGTCCCTTGGAAATACACCGGATTCTAAGGAGAAGTTGATAATCCGGGTAATAACCGGACGCGAGACATCAAGGCAATCGCTTAACGAGGAAAATCAATTTAAGAAAGCCATAACTACATGTATGCCATTTTGAACACATTACAGATGCACATCAATATCACCCCCACCCACCCAGTTTCAAATTTTCATAGTCAGGTAAGTCATTCCCCCCCCCTTTCCTGATCATCCCAATTTCGGCACAAATTAAATTTGTGCCAAAATCGATAATTTACGCCAAAGCTTTCACATCAAGAGCAACAATAGCTCACAGTAAAATACGAAATAGATTCCAACGTAAACTTTAGCAACCCATACTACTGCCCATATCACTATGGCCGCATCCGATATGGTGGGCTCTGCCGTCTATGGCTATGTAGGTATTTCCGCGACACTTTGCGTAAAACAGAGCAAAAAATCCAAATTAAAAACTTCTTAAGCCACAAGCGCTACATACGCCTAATTCCGACACGGTGTACCGTTGACAGAACAAATAAAATTTTAAAGTGCCACTTATACGGGTCACAATTGAACAATATGCATTTCAGTCTAAATGCCAGTTATGAATAGTCTTCAGTAAAAAAAATAACATCTCTCTTTTGCAAATGAAAATAAACAACTGACCACAGCGACCATACCAAGGTGTGTTAAGTATGTCATTCCTACATACACCCATACCGTCAGCAATCATGATAAAACTCCCCTGGTCTTTTCATGTGACCTTAGAACGCGTGCTAAGCGTTCTAGACCGTTCCACAATTCACAGGCATCGAGTCATAGGAAGAGCAAATCGATAACAACATCTATGAGAATATAGTTACATGTAGTGGGGCTGCTGAGTATGCCACAACAGGTAGACTGTGCGTCCCCAAGACGAGATTTATGAAAAACCCTCTGGATTCAGTCGCGATAGTTTAAATAACGTATAAAGAATTTTAGGGACTCTAACTCAAGGCGGTAAAATTATTTTCAGCTCACGCCGAGGTCCTCCCTTGGCAGTTATGTTCTGGTCATTTTCTTTGTGAAATCCGTGCAGGAAGGCGAAGATGAATCTGTCTGGTTGTAATCAAGACGTGATTGTTGTATTCTGATGTGTGCACTCATTGGGTGACGATCCTTGTCTGTAACGAGAAATTTGCATGCACTTAACAAAGGTAAAATTAATTCCGAGTGTGAGACTTGCGAATCTGAGGAGTATTACGCCAGTTCAGTTTTTCTAAATGAAGGGCATTGTTGGTCATTTGGAAAGAGCAATGCGCGTGTGTAAGATCAACCTAACAGTGCATGGATACTGTAAAACGGTTGGTCAATTTTGGGTAGATATTTTGCCCAATGTTGGTAAACATATCAACTTAGTAAACTTTGGTTAAATTCTTCCAAATATTTGGTCAATGTCTGACCCACAGTGACAGAAAATTTACCAACAATGTGGTCGCTTTAACCAAGGTTGGGCAAATAACAAATGCCCAACACCTTTTTTTAACCAACGTTTTTTACAGAGTAGACCCCTGTATCATAGGGCAGTCAATTTGCCTTTGTACCATTGAAAGCAAGGTAACCAAACTGAGGCTGAAATAAAAACATTCTGTTCCTCTATGTCAATATGTAAAGTCGTACATGTGTTGTTAGGCCAATGGAGCTACAGAAAATAAGACAAACATGGCAGCATCATAGTAAAGGTCTATGCAATAAAAAGACTAGATTAGCGTGTGCATAGTCTTGCTGGTTGGTCAAATGCTGGAGGCAAAATTTAAAAAAAATGCGCAACAAACGTACGAAGCGACAGAAACGGAAAGTAGGACTCGCCTATGATTTCATAAAATTAAGAAAATGTGAACAGCTAGTAGTGAGGGCTTGCGGGTGTTTAAGGGAATAAAAGAAATTTATGAAAAAAAATAAGGAAATATATGAAATAATGAAATTTACTGAGTAAATAATTGAAGCAATTTCGATAAAGTGTACAAAACAAATGAAAATAAGCCAAGGCACTTTTGTATTTTTATAAACCTATCCGCAAACAGTAATAAAGCATAACAGAGGATTTCATTGCGTGTTGTTGTGGTTGTTAGTTCCGTTTTTCTTTCACACAGTGCAATAAAAGCAAATCTTAATAATATAGCAATATCTTTGGATCCTTTTATGTGCCCGCTCGGAAAAGAAAGCTTCGCACGCGTCGAGCCACGTCAGGTGCTGGAGGGGAAACGCAGCGCTGTATAGACAAATCCGAGGTGATGCCATTCCGGAGGGGTCATCACACGCACACCCGCGGTTGAACTTCAGTGCGAGCACACATTAGACAAGTTGCTTGGCCCTTTTGGCCTAACAGAAATGCAACACGCGTACCACCTGCGTGCGAACAGGATGGCCCCGCAGTAATGATTTCTAATTCAGGTCGCCAGATAGGTCTTTACGTTCATTTTTTGCGCCTCCATCGAGTGACCACAATATGGCACGCAGTGACAGGTTGAGTATGTATACGCGCTGCCCGTCTAGTCTTTTCTCCCATAGCTATTTAATCACTGCAGCTGCACATACTGACGCTTGACATGTTGACATTTACGTTCTCTGTTCTCGAATCAAGAACCTCCCATTCTAAAATACCAAACTGGTTCTTTATGAGAGTTCCATGGAAGCTGTTCTCACCAATTAGTCCACATCGGCTGGCTTTGCCTAAACACTCGTCTCCTGAAATAAACAAAGGAAAGGGAAGTGGGAGACTTGCATTTTCCGCAGACGATAACACAACGACGATTGATCAAAGCCTTGCAAAAACCAAAAACATTGGGCTACTTACGGGCTTGGTCGGGGTGCTTTCATACTGTTTACCACTGTTAAAAAAAATCGAAAAAGGGGAAAAAGAACACGCAGTTAACGAAGTATCTTGTTCTAAGGAAACCAGGCATGCACTTTCATAACTTTGTTTTTACATGAAGTGTTGTTTTATAGCAGATTTACAGACACGTAATACCGAGATGCAGTGCAACGCTATTCATCTTCAAAACCGCAATTCAATGCTTTTCAGATGCTTAGTGGCAATAGACGTATAAGTCTCACGTGTCCAGTCCTTTTGGTTTGCATCATTTTGAAAATGGTCACATGAGCTTAAAAGTGCTCAAAATACAGAAGAGAAACAGTCTGGTTCTGCCACCAAGCGTCTCATAAGTCTTCCACTTAGCACTGTCCGAAAATACCGATGTCCACAAAGCAGATCTAGTATACGTTATCTACAAAGAACGAAAACTTAAGGCTTTCTAAAACTTCGACACGGGTGCCATTAAAATCAAATTCTGAGTGTGCACCACATGACTTCCCACTGTTTGGGATGTACAAAACTGATTTTACTCCCGAAAAAAGCCCGACCTGGGCCATTTCTTATACCCTGAAAGTCTGTAGTCCATTTTATTAGGCTAATTTCATTCAGCTCCCCAAACAAGTCATTAAATGAAAACTACTAAGATATTCCCCAAAATGAAGTGATATGTTTGAAGCTTAGAAACTTTAGCTGTATCTGCATAGGCAAAAGAAAAACAAACATAAAACGTCAGCAAAAGCAGTTTCCAAACCTCATATGTTGGCTTTTGCTCTTACGGCACTTGCAGAAGTAACAGATCACAAGAAGTGCAATCAGGAATGCAATGGCACCACACACACCCACAGCTATGGCGACAATTTTACCGTCAGTCCCGCTATCGGGGGGTCCCGTGGTCGAAGGTCGAGGAGACGTGATGGGGTATTTATCAACTGTATGTAGAGACAGTGAAACATTAGAACTCTCAACAATGGTGATATCAATTAAAGGTTTGGTCAAAATCGAGCTGAGACATGTCTGTTAGGGAGCTACAGTCTTATACTCTAGCGCGCCACTGAATCTTCCCATATTAACAAACAATTTTTAACATCACGGTCCAAAAATAACAACTAGCATTAGATATCCTACAGTTTTTCTGTTCTTCAGTCTACAAATATTCAAAGGGAGTTCGCCCTGTAAATGTGCTCAATAGTATTGGCATAGATGCCAGTTTGAGTCATGAGTCCACTGCAGTAACAAGCACCAAGTCCTTGTGCCAAAGGAAAAACGTTTACAACATTACAACGCTTACCTCCCTGTGGTATAATCTTGCGACGATGCTCAGCGCGGACTATTAATTTGAATAACTAATGCGAAGAACAATGGTACGTAACTTCACTTTTCGTCAAAATCTTTCCCCGTGTGTATCCCAATCAAATCAATTCTTCACAAAGTGACAAAAACCTCAAAATCATGCAAACGGACACTCCAAGATAAACACGTTGCAAAATACTGGCATTTTTAGTACATATTTCGATCACTTTTACGTTAAGGATGATGGATTTTTAACTAATTTACGAAATGCAAGACTTGGAAAATGCTAATCCATACTTAGTTGTTGATACATTGCCTCCATTACAGAACAATTCATTAAAAACTCTCAAAAGTTTTCTTCGCGAAAAAGGACAAACCAAAAGGTCTTCACTTTTTTTTCCTATTGCATTACACACACTTTTGTCACTTCGCGAAAACACCGATGAAATGGCTGCAGGTGAAACTCTATGGAACGTGGCTGCCATCTGTCGGCATTTAGGCCTACACTGAAAAGCGTTAAAGAATGTGTTTAAATGCTAAGCACACTTCAGGAAATGTATACCAAATAAACACATTCAAACACGTGTAAAATTGCATAACCAAGCCATAGGTGTCTATTACGCGCGAGTACAAAAAGTGTTCAAACTCTAAGCACCGTTTCATATTCAGGGTATAGGACTACAATTCTTATTCTCCCTTCATCTTTACAAGTGTACATACATGTATTGAACTCAATTTGGGGATCCAGTACATAGGTTTGCATGGCTGCCATTTTGCCAGCCAGTACTTTTGTTAAAGAGGGTTTGAACAAAGGAGGTTTCCCTGTGGAATAAAGAAAGTTCTCGGCAAAATGGCTACCACGCAAAGTCTTTATAGGGCCCAAACCACCATACAGTAACACGCATAGCTTACTGTTCCTTGCCTCCGAGCGGCTGCCACACAGCCCGTCCCGGCAGTATCGAGACTGTACCTCCCTGACAAACTCGGTGGAGTATCGGAATTCGCCGTCGCTTTGGATGCAGTCCAGGTCTGGCGCCAGACTCACGTCGATGTGCTCGCGGTAGTCGTAGCCCTCCAGTCGCAGGCAGGTACCGTTGTCGTCGTCTTGTGGTATGCCGGTGACGACAATGGTTTCCTGCGCCGGGCTGTACAGCACCGTTATGCCTGTACCCAAAACAAAGCAATGGTCATTTTGCGATTCTGCGATCTCTTGATGTCCCACCCTAAGTTGAAGGGAACGGTGGAATAGCTTTTTGATCCACAGCAAGACGCTGCACTGTTGGAATTTGCCAAAATGCCAAAACTGGGGTCAAACTGTTTTAACCCTTACGGATGGTGTATTATTAATCACTGCAGCACATCTTTGCCTTTTTTAAAGAACGTAAACACTTGATTGTATAGAAAAACCTTTATAGGAAGCAGCATTAGAGGAGTTAATTTTGCAGGGTGTGTGTAAAATCACATCGAAATAGAAGGGTTTTATCAGTGTTCACTGCACACACTGGAATGTTATCAGACGACAATGCTCACTTTTTATCAATGTTACAGTTTTTGGTGTAAATTGAACACCGAAGTTATATGTTTAACAGATTAAAAAAATCTGTTGGTGTGAATAGTGACATCAGCGTTGTTACACAAACACATTTTGGTGTGGTCAACTGCACACCAAATCAATTCCCTAAACTTTGCTGGATAAATCGATTTAACATTCGATCGATTTTATGCCGCACACACATTTACCCTTTTAGGGACCATTTTCACCCAAACGTTATGAATCTTATCTTTAGTGTGATCGTGGGAATAAATAACATCAAGAGGGAAAGAAAACAAACGAAAGCTCCTAAAAGCGCTCTCAGAGTGAAATGATTGCAAAAGATTGAGTAACTTACCCAGTGCCCTTGGTGTATCCGCTGCAACGTCAGATATGCAAATAAGAACAAAGCCAATTCGTTTGTTACATTTACCATCTATAAACGTGGAAAACAATATCTCCGTCCTAGTGCCTCTTCATTCCTAAACATGTTGATAGCAATTAAATTATCACCAGAACACTTGAACCGGTTTGGGTATACGTCCAAAAAGTATACAAGTTATCAGACAGCCTCATTTTTCAAATATGAGAGATAGTTCAAATACTGTTCTAACCTTTCATTTATAAATTCCTTGCATTACAATAGAAATGTCGTTTTAATTCTTCCAAAAACAACAATAAAAAAGCATTGTGTACTGTAGTTGCAATACAAAGTAAGTCTCACCCATTATGATCCAATGGTGGCCATTGCTAAGTATGTCTTTTGTAACTCTGTAAGAGTTTTCCCCGAATCAGAAGACAACCAACTGATAAATGTTGTGCAGTAAACCATTTGAACAAGTTGGCAACAGCAAAGTACAGTACCTAAAACTTTACTCCCGTGGATCGAAAGGAGATTGTAATTGTACAAATTGTATGGTAATCTATAGATGACACATGTACATCCTATTGTGGCGTCACCTGTCACGTCGTGCGTTCGCGTCGAGTCTCGTTATCAAGCGACAAACGACGGCAAAATGCGACGGGTGACGACATGACACAATGGACGGCACAGCATCATACTGAAGTGGGCATATACCCTCACCAACACCACGATCTGACACACATCTTCACTTCTCTGCTAGTTCGTGAAAACCGTGATTAGAGCAGTTTTGGTTTCACTAAGTGACACAAATGTGTGCTAGCGCATATTGTACCCAGTGCATTATCGAACAATCTTTTTCACGAAGAAGCACAAATGTGTGTTTTGTCAATATAACATAGAAAAAAACATTAAATGTTTAAAATTATTTTATTTTACCCGTAAATGGGTGACTAAACGGAAAAAAAGCTCTTAAAACTCGTAACTGTGTAAATTAAGGAGAACGTCAATTTCTGAATAAGGCAAATCACGGAGCACGTGGCGCAAGACATGTGTGCCTCTTCGTGAAAACGAAAATATCACATTTCTATAAAATACACGTTGAAGCGCGCACACATTTTTAGATTTGTGTTACTTTGGTGACGATATTACTCACACTCCGTCCAAGCGTTAAGAGTCGCATACAGACTGGAGCCGTGAATGTTGGTAGCGTACACCGCCAGTTGATAGCGCGTATCGGGCGTGAGGTTCCCATATTCAGCGGAGCGACTCTCTGGATCGTGCTGGCGCCATCTGAGTGCGTCAAATTCATCAGACATCTCGCGATAGTTGGTGTAATAAGCTTGCAGGTCCTCGCCACCATCATAGCCTGGCTCCCACGTGATTCTGAAGCCAACCCCTGATATCCAAGAACCATGGAATACTTGGAAGTCCTTCGGCGGTTCAGGTTTTCCTTTACATATTGGAAATTTTAAAGTCAAGCCATGAAATGAATTCATCAAAAAAAAGGTATAATGTGCAAACAAACAACGAGAAAGGTGTAGAGGGAAAATAACAGTATAATTCAGAGATCAACAGTCTACTGAAATGTGTAAAATCTTGATACATATCCTTTTTAAATGTTACTTCCCGAACATGTAGTTGTTCGTGTTTTCCTTTATGAATATACTTCCCTATATGCCTACCCACTGTCTGCCTTCTTCCCCTGGCAAACTTGCTGTTTGATAAGACTTGAAGGTTTTCATGGTGAAAGAACTATATCTCAGAACCACACATGCTCAAGAAAGAGATTGATCCATGGTGTAACCGCAATCGTTTTACTCAAACTTGCTGCTTATTTAACCACTATTAAGCAGCAAGTTGTAGCTATGCATACCTGGCAACCTGTCGTACTCCTTTCTCAGGTCTGGCATCACCACGTGATAGATCAGAATTTTAAATATACGGCTCATTTTAATACCTTTTCATCTATGTGTGGTATTGCTTGACCTCAGGAAGGAGTACGGCAGGTTGGTAGGTCTGGATGTAGTTTCTCTTCGGTGAGCACGAGATAATTTATTGCGGTAGCCTATGGAAAGTACCAAGTGACAATGCCCACAACACAAGGTCGTGCACTTCCCACCAAAATATTGGACGGAGAGGTACCCCCATGTCCAATCCCTACAGACACTCCAGATTATTCTTACCTGACACATCCCCAGATGTCTGAAAAGAATTCCTGAGATTCCTATCAAGCAATGACCAAGACAAGGGGGGGTTCTCTTCGTCCCACATCTCGCTTCCATTTGAAGCACGATATGGGGCGGAGAGGACCCTCCCCGGCTTTGTGTTGGTCATTGCTTGATCGGAATCTCAGGAATTCTTTACAGACACTCTAGAGTGTGTATAGGGATTGGGCAGGTAAGGGGGGTAGCCCTCTGTCCCATATCCTGCCTGGTATACTCGCTTCTAATGAATGCACAGGGGGAAAGTTTTAAAATGAAGCGTACCAGTTTCTCTCAACTCTATTTCCAGATCGCTGAATGAACCATTGACGTTGGCAGCTCTGCATCTGTACATCCCATAATCGTTGCTGGCATCCACTCGATAGATCGTCAAATGGCTTGTGATGTGAGATCCCAAAACGTCGTTTATTGTACTGTTTTGTCCCCATGACATCCTTCGTGGTACTGCGACGTCAGTCAAGGCGTTACCACCAAGATCATACCAAGTGACCGTGGGGCGTGGGTTGCCTCGGAAGACGCACTGTAAGGTTGCTGTAGAGCCGTTGTTCGCACCGACCCATGTCCTGTCCTCATTGACTATAACTGGCCCAACTTACATGTAAATTGGGAAAGTGGGATATCAGTTTCATTGTTTACCCCCACAATCATTTACATGTTTCAATTTAAGCTCAGAAAAATGCTACCAGTATGCAACACCAACAAAATGCAAAACCCCTTTAACTGATTTCTTCACAAACCAGTACATGCAGCGGAAGGGGGGGGGAGTTCCCCCACCCTGTGCTGGATACACCACTGACACATGTACACTGTAACACACCTTTTCCTGGAAGCCAGTTCAGACTTCATGCAAAAGCGAATTGGTGACGTTAGATTGGTGTTACAAATTGGTAAAAGGTGAACACACTTCAAAAAAGCGAAATTTTACTGCAAAATTTTCGCGACGTCAAAGATTGCTTTGCTCTCGTATTTGTCCAAAGTATGAACGAGGACAACATTAGCATAACAAGGAAGACCTTGCAGCATGCAAAGATAAATTCTCGGGACAAATTGGGATTGTTAGAAAATAATGCTGCATTTTTAGAGCTTAAAGGGAGCTGCTTGTTTCGATCAACGTCTAGTTAAAACGGTCTTTGCACTGAAAACACTGGATTTAGAAAGCCATTAAACGCTTTCAACATGTTTGTGGACATGCTGAAAGTGTAAAACCATATCTCTTTCAGAATGTGAAAGTCACAAGAAGTCTATTTGTTCAAACAATTTGTAGGCCTAACGTGCAGCGAATGGGCTGACTTAGATATTTCATATTTCTGATAAAGGGTAAAACAAATTGAAAACATTTAGTTCAAGTGAAGTATTTAAAAAAAATAGTACATATGTAACCATTTAAAACACATCACAAATAGATAACCCCAAAATGAATACAAACATCCCGCATTTCCCCGCCTACAAAGACCCCCTTTTGGCCGTTCGCGCTCACAGGCTGCTTGATGACGTCACTACCAGAACGCTGAACAGCAGAGTTGTAGCCAAGTCATTTTTTTCAAAGTCAAGTCTCGAGTCAATATTTCCAAGTCAAGTCAAGTCTCAAGTCATTTTTTCCAAGTCAAGTCAAGTCTCAAGTCATTTTTTCCAAGTCAAGTCTCAATTCAAATGTTGAAAACAATGTACATCAAAAGTTAAGTGACACACGTTGCTATAATTTTCTTTATTTTGTTACATAAATATGTATTTATTGGCTTGCCTATGCCATGAATTGAGGTCACATGACACCGTAAATGGCACAAATAAACAATGTTTCGGCACACACCTTCAAAGATGGTTAATGACTATGACAAGTTTGAAATTGATCACAGGAACCAGTGCACTGACCGTAGCTGGTAACCGCGCCGCCGGGGCAAGAAGTTGAAAGCAACATAAGGAGAATTTAATAATGAATTCCCTACTTTGTAAAATAACACCCCAATCATTTTTGCAGACAACTTCTTTGGCACTTAAATATTTAAAAAATGCATTTTTTACTTAATATTTTGAACTTTTCCCTCAAAGTTATTATTCCAACGGCAATTGACGGAATGTTTTTGCTTGATGCAGTGTGAATTCCTTTTTGCTAATGGGGGCTTTTCGGTAGTAGTAGTAATATTCCAGTCGATTTATTCCTAAGTGTTGAATTTGGCGTGGTTTGAGTTTGCCCGCAGCCTGCGACAGTATGCAGCCTGTGGGCTCTATGGAACGACCATTCTTAAATAACGAATGGTAATCAGACCATGCAGTGCGCCTCACATGTTACAAGTACGGATGTACAGCATGCATGTACATTGTGCTGTACATACGCGTGTATTATGAACACGAGTACCGAAACATGCAGTACGAACGATGTTTTTGTGAGTGGGATGAACGCGCAGATCACCGAGGTTCGGGTTTTTTTGAGCATATTTATAAAGAAACGATTTCGTATGAAGAATGAATTTTTTCAAGTCAAGTCTCGAGTCTTTTTCTTTTCAGGTCAAGTCTCAAGTCTGAAAAATAGCGACTCGAGTCCGACTTGAGCCTGATCAGCGATTCGTGTCAACGACACTGCTTAACACTACACGCACTACGTGCTGGTCAGACCACGTTGTGTTTGAGAATGGTTTGATGTAGCTTGGCCCACTGGTAGATACTGTCTCAGTGCAAGGTAGAAATTGAAACACGCAGTCCTTTCGTGTATTTCTCGAACTGAGAGTTTGAGACCGTGTTTGTTTGTGGGCCACGCTACATCATATACAACAAGGTCTATTGTGAGCGTTCGATCCTGCATGTGCTGTGCGTAATGTACGTGTACACTGTCTATGTCGGTAATCTGGCGATGACGTCACCCAATTAGCCTGGGAGCGCGAATGGCCAAGGAATTTTTTACGGGGCAGGGTAACGGAAGATCTTTTTCATTCATTTTGGGGTCACAATTAATAAGATAAACATTAAATTTACTTTGTTTTTTAAATGGTTACGTATTTACTGTTATTTTGAATGCTTCACGTGAATAAAATGTTTTCTATTTCTGTTAACATTTCAATTGCTTAGGTTTTTTGGGGGGAGGGGGTAGGGAAACTTACAGTAAACCGGAACAGCAATCCAACTAGAAAACCTGTCGTAGATCCAATTATTCCCTATCTGCTGGATGGCCCTGACACATCGGTACCAACCAGCCTGGTCCGGGGATAACCGTAAGAGGGGCCAGGTGTGGTTGGCGACAATGTGTATCGGCTCACTGAGCGCGGTCGAGGACCTCTGATCGAAACTGTACTGCCACTTAATCCATCCAGAAGGAGAACCGCTGTCGAGGCTGCAGGTGAGGGTGACATCATTGCCCTCGAGGACAGGGCCCGCTGGGGACGCGGTGATGGCAGGTTCATAATCTATGTGGGAGGACAGTGGAGAGTGGGAGGGAAAGAAAAGAATTAGGCCACACATTGTTGAATACTATGGTACACAGGGATTATTGTGTTGCACACCCCCACGCGATAGCATGCAGTTGGAACCCCCAAGCCACAGTAGAATTTTATCTCCCGGGCCCGATGAGCACGGGTAATAATTGCAAAACAATCAGTATTATATAGGTAAGCGTGATATAATTTAAGAAGTTTTTATTGCAGGAATTTGGATTGTGAGGATAAAGTAAGGGGGAAGGAAATAACGTGAAATAATTGGAACCTCTGTGGGTATTTAGAACCCAATCCGCAGTTTACCGGAATGCTAAATTTTCACATGCGACCCTGGACTAAAAAATCCTTAAAATGGGGTCTCCTCGTAATCTTCCTTTTCGAGCTAAATTTTCCAGTGGTAGTCTCTTCGGTTATGCTACCTCTGTCATTCACGTTGTAAATTACTCGTCTTGTTTTCCATTCTGGCACTTACATGTGACCTCAAAAAGGCAGGAGGCGCATGACGTGTTCCCGAGGCAGTCCTTGGGGCCATCGACGAAAGTGCTGCAACACTCAAACATGGTACCACCTCGAGGCCCAACGGTAGACCGCTGACGAATCTCTGACTCGAAGCCCTCTGGACTGTCTCCACCCTGGTAGATAAAGATTCTTTCCGTGAGCTCAACACCATCCCGATACAGAGTCAGATTAGTACGAAAGTTTGACTGCGCCACGCAGGAAGGCCACGTATACCCACTCAGTTCTACTTCCATTACTCGTTCACAAACTGTGTCGGAGGAGTCCAAGAAGAACACGTCGACGGTGCAGTCTGGAAAAAGAAACCTTTTGGCATTGAAGGAGACATTGAATGGCATTTGTATGACCTCAATAAATAATACGTGTAATAATAATGAAGTCCTCTATAGCACCGGTATGCGCCACAAGAGGCGCTCATGGCGGTTGCTCAGATTGCTACCATTATCCCAGTCAAATATCTTATTGTGATTGTCCATTAACAAAGACGATTCAAAATATCAAAACCTGGATACATGTAAGAAAGCTTGCAATGTTACTTTGAATCTCCATCTCCTTTAAAGTATCGGTAGCAAAGGCATGGAGGAATAAGGCACCTCAATAGTTTGGTTTTCACGCCATAGAAGTTTTTTACATTCATGAGCCACAGTGTCATGTCATCCAAGGCAGCACAGTTGGGTCTCTAAGCACTGTGTACAAAATGCATATCACACATTTCTACATTTTCATGGAGTAAGTTCTACATTTTGCTTATTATGTAACACACGTCATAATATCTTGTTTAGACAAGAGAACTGGCAAGTCTTGCTTGAAACTTTGTTGTTACATGTGGGTAATTTTAAGGGATGTTTTGGTTGTTGTTTTTTTATGCTCGTCTGACGAGTACCTTGTGTCACAAAAATAAAACAGCGTCTTCTAAATGTGCCAAAGAAAAGACTTTCTAAGAATAGGAATACTACCACCTTGTCACTTCCATGAAAAAAGTACTAATAGTTGGATTTTGTGTTTTTCAACATATTAATACTGTATGCAAACATGTTGAGCTGCTTGTTTACAGTATGTTTCCTTTACGCCTGAAGAGAATTTGAATAAAAATTGACAAGTGAGACAAACCGGCAGAAGAGATGGCGTATACGTTACGTTCCTGCCCTCATCAATTGTACGGAGAGAGCCAATAGTATATCTGCTGTAGAAACATGGAAGTATCGATATTTGTGGGTTTCAACAATCAGTCAAGTTTATTGACACACATTCTTAGTGGCAAAGAGCCGCTTTGCAAAAGTTTAAACAAATGTTGCATAACAAAGTACAAATAAAATATAGCGATTATCATGCACATACAACGTAAATATGTTCCTATGTTAAGGTTAAAGATTAATTTATTTTTTTTGGTGTTTTCTAATACTGCTGAACAGGATGATAGAGGAAAAAGAGGACCAGGGGTAAGGAGAAACACAAGGAAAAGATGGAAAAGGAAAATATTTACATGTATACATGAGATATATATGTGTACTGTAGAGTAAGAGAGAATGGGAGAGAGAGAAATAGTAGAGTGGGCATTGGTGAGTTCCAATGGTCCATGTCCAAAATGTGCTTCTAGAGCTACGGCTACTTCTCGTCAGCGTGTCCTGCCTGTCTTCAATGGGCGCTGAGCTTGAGACAAAAAATTCAGCATGCCACGTTAATTTTCAAGTAGCTCTTATATGAGCCATTAAATTAGGCGAAATGACAATTGTTACTTGTCCACGTGCTTTACGTGTATTATACTTAATAGAGCATGATTATAACATACAATCTAATTTGTTTTTTGTTTGAACAAAATGATTTTTTTTAATGCAGTCATGTAAGGTACACAGGTGGTATCTTTACAAATGGGAGGCGGCCGAAGCTCTCCTGGCCAATTCACCCCATGTTGGTGGACAGTCTCTTCCCATCAAGGACTCTTTCAGCGTCGCAGCCAACACGTCTGACAGCGGCGAGAAAGCTCCCTTCGCCTTCTCTACATTAACGCACCCACCAACAACCTCCTCGGGCCCGTCTACATCATCTTCGTGGCCCCACCGGTCACTCTGCTCCTTTGTACCCCCAACAGGCTGCATGACATTGAAAGTTCACCCCTGAAGGATTGGGATACCCCCATGGGGCTCAGGCCTCGGGTGCAACTACTCCGAGGAGACCGGATAGTCAACGAGTGGGTGTACATGTGTATACGACCAAGACATTGCGGTAGCGGACAGGCTCCATCAACCAGTAAATCTTCACTTCAGCAATCGAGGTTTCGTTGGGTTTTTTTTAGTTTTGGGTGCGGACCACTAATTCAAGCGAGAATTTCTGACCAGTTCATTAGCATTAAAAGTGCCCCCGCACTATCTTTTGAAAAAGGAGATTGTTTGGCCCCCAAAATGGTGAGATTGTGTAAATCGTCGCCAGGATCAACTCCCTGGGTCTTAGTGCTTTCATATGAGGGCAGAAGGGCTGAAAACTACGGTTGAAAAATGGTCCCAAGTGCCCGAGAAAGTT